GAAAAATTGCAAAGAAAAAGGATTGAAGCTTAATCAACAATCAGTGAAACAAAATCTGCATTTGCAGAAAGAGCCATTCAATCAATAAAACACACAATTTTCCGCTACATAGAAGAGCATGGTGAAAAATTCGATCATATGCTACGTCAATTGATATCTACAATGAATTGTTGCCTCAATAGATCTACTGAGAATTCAACTAGAGATGTTAAGAAGACTGATTTCCTCTCAATTCTGTACAATAAACCTCTAACAAGGTATGGTAAGCCAAAATTCTTAAATGGAGATAGAGTGAGAATTTCAAAGAATGATTTTCCTTTCCGAAAAGGATATAAACAACAATTTACAGATGAAACTTTTGAAAACTTTGCAATATTTCTAAAAATCTTCCTACAAAAGATCTCGACAAAGAAGAAATGAAATTAGGGACAACCTTAAGAAAAAGAGCTGAGAAAATATTCAAATTATAGGTATATTTTTTTCTATCGATCTGTTGTCACCGATATTTCACAGTTGAGCTAGTTTCTAACGCTTCTTTTAATTATTTTCCGAAAAATAATCTTATTTTTTTTATAAATTTTCTACACGAACAAATACATTTGAAAAGAGAATGGGAGGTGGCTATTTCAAAAATATCAGACCATTCTTTGTACCAAAACGTTATTGAGGGAACGTTAACTTTCCTAGACGGCAGACGGCAGAGAGAGTTCTGAGGAAAAAAGAATGATTGAACCGATACAAATTGAACAAGAATTGTATCCAAGTATTGTTGATACAGTTGTAGAAATGAACAATAAGTATCGAGAATGTCTAGGTGATCAGGTTTTTGAATTTAACGGAATATATGTATCAAAACATAAAATTACACAAAAGAAAACCATTCATTTACCTGAGGATCAATCATTGTTTCTGATTTATTTTTTGTTTGAGTCACATTTTTAGTTGTGATTTAGAACAAAAGTAAACAAGGGTTATAGTTAGTGGAAAAAAACCGCATTATCCTCAGTATTCTTACGACATTATAAGAATGCATTCTATGATGATATATAGTGATATTATAGAACACAACATAACCGGTGATACAAAAACTTCCTTATTGCTTTAATTCAATCATCTCCAAAGTAAAAACTGGAGATAGTTCAGGCTAAAAAATTCCTTTGTTTCCGTAGGAATAACACGAGTTGTTCTCTTGTTCCGCAAGATTTCGAAAAATACTTTTTGATTTCTACTTCAAACGAAATGGTTGCTCAAGATTTTTTGGAGACATGCGAGACAACGTGGAAAAAATTTTGATGCTTTTGTGCAAACTCTTAGGAGAACTGCAACCCCATTTTTGAAAAACACATAGTACCAGCTACAAAAAGAATTGCAGCAGGTTTTTTTGAAATTGCAGCATCAGAGATCGGAATAGATGTCACTGGACGAAAAACAACACAAAGTTTATGCAAAGGATCTTGGAACAAAAACAGTTCGGAAACAGTTGGGATGTGGAATAATGAACTCCAATCGTAGAACTAGTAGAACCAGATGCCTTTCTCAAAAAGTAGATTGAAAACCAGTCGCTCTCGCAAAAAAATTTTGACAAAACATAATGAGCACAAACCGAAGTAGTCATTTCCGGCACGGAGTTTTTGCAAATTCTTCTTCGGAGATTTTGATAGAATCCAAGCTTTGGAAACAATTATATCGTCTTATACACAAGAAGTATTACCTCGTACTTCGCTACATGAAAGCAGTATTGAGTTTAATTTCGAAAGGGATCGCAATCTCTATTTGGATAAGCGTGATACTCATCTAAATTTTTAGCTTCAATTATCAAGGGAAGGTTGTTTGATGCTTTCAAGAGAAAAAAAGCAGAACATGCAAAAGATCTTGGAACAAAAACAGTTCGGGAACAATTGGGATGTGGAATAATGAACCCCAATCGTAGAACTAGTAGAACCAGATGCCTTTCTCAAAAAAGGCGATCGAAAACCAGTCGCTCTCGCAAAAAAAATTTGACAAAACATAATGAGCACAAACCGAAGTAGTCATTTTCGGTACGGAGCTTTTGCAAGTTCTTCTTCGGAGATTTTGATAGAATCCAAGCTTTGGAAACAATTATGCCGTCTTATACACAAGAAGTATTCCCTAGTACTGAGCTACATGAAAGCAGTATTGAGTTTAGTTTCGAAAGGGATCGCAATCTCTATTTGGATAAGCGTGATACCCATCTGAATTTTAAGCTTCAATTATTCAAGGGAAGGTTGTTTGATGCTTTCAAGAGAAAAAAAAAGCAGAACATAAAGCAAATGCGAGGATGGTTTAGATGAAGAACCAGAACCTTACTTAACTTATATAAACAATTAAGTTTTTTCACCTTTATCCAAGTGTGAAATTTGTTCAACAAAACAATGGCTTACAACACCAATGGATTAGATGCTTATGAGGCACAAAAGTCGAACGAATTCAAATCGTCGGCTGTGAGTTCTAAAGGAATAATTGCTTGTCATGAATTCAGTTTTGAAGAATTTCCTGATGCCTTTGATATGCATCCGTTCACTGATAGTGACTTTTCCTTAGGAACTGGCATAGCTTTTTCACTGTATGGGAGGCTCGCCATTGATTTGTTTACTTGCAGAAAATTGTTGCTACCAAATACCAAAGTTCGACTTAAACTAATTCGAGTTGGACTTTGTTTTTTTTAATGCAAACTGATGATTCAAAAGTTCGCCTGGAAACTGTTGATTGTTCGCTGTTTACCAGAAGAACTTTAGTTGCTGTTTCTAATAATCATTACTTGCAATGGAATCTGGAAAAATAACCTGCTCACCACAATTAAATGGAAACTATAGCAAAAACCTTTATCATTCCATCTTGTTAAAACCGATTGATAAAAGAACATTTATTGATTAACGCTCCAATAAGAAAAATTGCTGTTGCGATGAATAAAAACTCGGCTGATGCGGGATCTTTTTACTAAAACCTTTTCAACTATCAACAATTTGGTTTAAGAGAGCACAGAATTATTCGGGAAGGAGGAACAATTGTTTCAATAGATACAACTTCTCCTTATTGTCCTTGTGTTACAATATTGAGAGAAATGCAGTTTAACCAAGATTTCACAGCTCTTTCTACAAAAGATTTTCAAAATCAATAACTTTTGTTTTTGTATTGTCTTCACTACGAGATGCCGCTGAATATTTGCATTATCCAGATTTTAGTGTGGAAAGCTTGAGATTAGGTAGGTTTTTCCAGTTTCCTCTGGATCAAGTCTTAGGAGAAAGACCATCAAATTTTCAAATTGATAAAACCGGAACAGTAGCTAAAAAAGTATTTTTTTGAGTTTTTAGGTTCCTATAAAAACATTGTAACTTTTTTGGGACTTTTCATTGTTATTGTCTCTGTACTATCTATTTTGTTTTTCTTCAGGCTTAAATCTCCAGAAAAAGTAGAAAATGAACAGTGTTAAATTAAAAACCCGAGAAAATTCTTCACCCAGGCTAGAAAACAGTGTTCAATAACATTTGTCAAGTTCATAAGACTTGTGTATGGGACTTTGTTGATTCAATATTTGATGCGTGTAAGTCACTAATCTTACCTTTTTTAATCATGAAATGCATTATCAAGCTATCAATTTCTTTGTTTCAGATGTAAATCTTCAAAAAACTGCGATGATGGATAATATTTTAATTCTGAAAGTTATTGAAAAGATTGCTGAGCTGAAGTACATGGGATCTTACTTCTCTGATAAAGTACCTCAACCATCAAAATACGCTTTTGCGATCATCAACTCAGCTGCAAGTAATGATAGAGGAGATCACTGGATCGTGATTGCTTGACTGGACAAAGCTTAATAATTTGCTGATACTTTGGGTCGAAAATGAACAATTTATTCCCTTCTAGCAAAAGAGTATTGGCGAATGGTTCCCAGAAAACTGCAAAAAACTGATATTTTGTGTGGATTTTATTCAATTCATTCATCATTTCTACTTCTTAAATTCTATCAGAGAAAGTTGAATAATATTCACGGTGAGCATGTTTTGAATTTTATAAGTAATTTCATGTAAAACGGCATTTTCAATTGTAAGTTTAAATTATGGTAGTAAATTTACTGTACGATGAAGTGATTTTTGTACTTTCTTTATAAAATAGTTTTTTTTCTCAAAAAAAAATCGATTTTTTGAAGTATCAGTAGGATTCAGCATTGTTTTAGGTAGATAGAGCACTTTTCCAAAATAAGAAATTATCTATCAAAAAATTTATAGGTCGAGTTATACCAAATGTTATCGTGTTATGAAGTTTTTCTGAAAAACGTTTCAAATTTTTTTGATGAAAAATCTAAGTTTTTGCTCAAAAACTCTTACCATTGAATTACCATGAACCAAAAAACTAATTACAGGACGTTCATTTCACAAACTAAACGTAATTATTCATTAATTGTACGCACGCCGAAAATTTTGCGAAAAAACTAGACACTTCTACACAAAATCCAAAAAAATTATCTTGTTTTTTACCATTCTCTTACCATTACGGAGACCGTGAAACCTTGCCAATTATTTTCCCTATCTTAATACTTTGTAGACTTTATACCCAGTGTGCAGACATAGCATGGAAGACCGGAAAGTTAAAACGTATCTTAATACATGTGTTCTATTGTAATCTATTATAATGGATTATAATGATTAAAAAACAATGACAATATGATTCAATCCATTTTTAATGTATTATAATTGAATATAGTCGAATATAATGGATTAAATTGATATAAAAAATACAATAACTACCATTTTTGATTGGTTATAATAGGTTTTTTTGTAATTTTACAGATACTGACTATCAATTGACAATATAATCAATTGTTATCCATGGAACTCCAGTGCGCAATTTCCAGATTTCGCCTAGAATTCGGCATCAATTTTTTTAGATGCTAATGAAAATGTCGAGTTTGAATTGAACAACAAACACCTCAATCATATGAAATTCTGCATTTTTCTTCAAAAGTCAAAACACTAATTCGACTATTGCGTACCTGCGATGACAGCACCAGTTGAAACAGCAGTCACACCAACACCAACACCAACACCACCGAGTACGCCAAGTGCAACTATACTTGCCGCGGTATTTTCCACTTCTTTAGTCGAGTCTGTTGGCCGGAGCTTGTCCGCCTTGTCGCGGATGAATGTCAACCCTGGATCTTCTCCTTCAAAGTGGTTCCTGACGATAACTTCGAAGTTTCCTTTTCCTTTTGCGTGATGGCGAGTAAATTCTTCGATGTCTGTTTTCAGTAGCCTGAAGGTTTGTTGATACAACAAAACTTCTTCCACGATCAGTTGCTCCGATTTTTTCTTGCAAAAAAAACTGGATAGCGGAATCTTATCACGCTTTGTGCAAGCAGCTGCTACTTTTGGTATTCGCGACTGCAGGGCACTTAACTTTGCCTTAGCGACAACTTTGCCATTTTCCTTCGCATGTTTTAGCAACACGAGCTTTTTGGCCTCCGGGCAGTCTGTCAGTAGATCATCTCTCAATTTCGGCATCTCAAATTTTCCTCTTTCTGTCCCATCAACTAAGTACAGATTGAAATCACTTCCTTCTTCCAGACATTTTTCTTTCAACTGTGTGATCAGATTTCTCCTGGTTGCGTCAATTATATTTTGTTCTTGTTTTTTCTGTTTTTTCCCCTTCCTAACTGTCTCATCAATATGAGTCCTGACTATGTACCACTTTATTTTCATCTTTTTCGCTCCTGCAATCAGCCTGTTTGCATCTGTCGTTATAACATCACTCAGAGCAATGATGAAAAAATCATATTCAATATCTCCCTTTGGGTTTAGCGCCAAATCTTTCGCTCTGATTGTTTGCCAGTATCTATGGAGAAGAAACTCACTACCATCAACTCCTGGTAGATCCCAAATTTTTATTCGTTCGTTTTCAGGATGTTGGAAATCACGTGGCTTAGTTGTACACACTCCAGCCTCGTCCACCTCCGCAGCACCTTCGGGCAAGTCGCCATTTTCGTCAATCTCATATCCAAGCAATGTATTGATGAGTGTAGATTTACCCGCTTTAGCTTGTCCAATCACACCAACGTTGATTTCTTGGCTGCTCCATTCTCGAAGAGTCTCCAAAGATTGATTGAAATTTTTCTCCGCTTCACTAATCTGGTGATTTGAAGACATAACTAAGCACATAAGCAGTGTACCTAAACTAGGCGTTTCTCTGTGAAACAATTCGCAACGAGATTCGAGGCAAAATAGACTTGCATTAAAATGCTTCTGAGACCCGAATTTTTTTTTAAGAAACCAATTTTTTTTTGAGATTTCGAGCTTTTGCGAGATAGTGCAAAGTTTAGACCAACAAGGACCTGCCAGAGTATCTATGTTCTTAACAAGCATATATGTTACTGCGCAAGTATCCCCGAATGTTCCGACCCTAGTCTTATAAATTACAAAAGTAAAAATGATGAAAAGTTTTTCAAATTGGAGTCGTTTTTTTTGCTTGGTGTAATAAAAAAATGAAAAAAAAACGTAAACTGGTTAATACAGAAATGACTTGAAAAACAAAATTATTGGTAAGAAAATCAAAAAAAAAATAATTCAAAACTCAAAAAAAAGTTGGTTTTCAAAATCGTGCTCAAAGTAACATCTATTAGATTTCAAGTTATTCGAAACTCAAAATGAAAACAAGAAAACGCAATACAACACCAATTAGTGGATTTGTTAGAATAAAAATTAATCTTGAATTAATCCTTTTCTTTCTCAGACCGCTTTGGGAGTAATTGTGGATTATTTCTAATATAAAACTAATTTTTTGAAAACCTCAGTTTTTTCAAATCAATTATTTATGTGCAAACTCGAAAGAGTCGTCTGAGAATATCAAAAAATCACATGGTTTTTTTTTCAATTGATTTTTTTTCATTTGTAGAGAATGACCAAAAGCCTTGTTAGCACTTAACAAAAATTAACAATTTCAATGGGTTTTTCTTTATTTTAAATAATTTTTCGCCCGAAGCCTTATCAAAAGATCTTTTTCTGTTTTGAAACTATGAAGAACTTCGGCGGAAATATATCAAAATTATCGGATTATTGTTTCAAGTATTCAAAAACGTGCTACAAAAGTGGCAGATCAATTGGGTACAATTTCTGTTCTAAATTTAAATGAGGCTAGTAAGTGATTGAAAAATTGAACAAGAGACTTATTTATGAAACAGTTTGTAACTATTTCACATACAACCAATCATAAAAAACTATCACGTTGACAGGGAGGATGCTTCATCATATTGAACGCAACCATTTTTCCAGCCTTTGTGAAACTGTTCGAGTAACGATTCCCTCCGAAAACATGTAAGAAAGGGTTAACGAGCGAAACAACGGAAACCAGGCAATACTGAGGCGGAAACAAACATGATTTTGGAGGATGAGGTTGAAAATATGAAAGAAAACTGACCGGAACAGTAGCTAAAAAAGTATTTTTTTGAGTTTTTAGGTTCCTATAAAAACATTGTAACTTTTTTGGGACTTTTCATTGTTATTGTCTCTGTACTATCTATTTTGTTTTTCTTCAGGCTTAAATCTCCAGAAAAAGTAGAAAATGAACAGTGTTAAATTAAAAACCCGAGAAAATTCTTCACCCAGGCTAGAAAACAGTGTTCAATAACATTTGTCAAGTTCATAAGACTTGTGTATGGGACTTTGTTGATTCAATATTTGATGCGTGTAAGTCACTAATCTTACCTTTTTTAATCATGAAATGCATTATCAAGCTATCAATTTCTTTGTTTCAGATGTAAATCTTCAAAAAACTGCGATGATGGATAATATTTTAATTCTGAAAGTTATTGAAAAGATTGCTGAGCTGAAGTACATGGGATCTTACTTCTCTGATAAAGTACCTCAACCATCAAAATACGCTTTTGCGATCATCAACTCAGCTGCAAGTAATGATAGAGGAGATCACTGGATCGTGATTGCTTGACTGGACAAAGCTTAATAATTTGCTGATACTTTGGGTCGAAAATGAACAATTTATTCCCTTCTAGCAAAAGAGTATTGGCGAATGGTTCCCAGAAAACTGCAAAAAACTGATATTTTGTGTGGATTTTATTCAATTCATTCATCATTTCTACTTCTTAAATTCTATCAGAGAAAGTTGAATAATATTCACGGTGAGCATGTTTTGAATTTTATAAGTAATTTCATGTAAAACGGCATTTTCAATTGTAAGTTTAAATTATGGTAGTAAATTTACTGTACGATGAAGTGATTTTTGTACTTTCTTTATAAAATAGTTTTTTTTCTCAAAAAAAAATCGATTTTTTGAAGTATCAGTAGGATTCAGCATTGTTTTAGGTAGATAGAGCACTTTTCCAAAATAAGAAATTATCTATCAAAAAATTTATAGGTCGAGTTATACCAAATGTTATCGTGTTATGAAGTTTTTCTGAAAAACGTTTCAAATTTTTTTGATGAAAAATCTAAGTTTTTGCTCAAAAACTCTTACCATTGAATTACCATGAACCAAAAAACTAATTACAGGACGTTCATTTCACAAACTAAACGTAATTAATCATTAATTGTACGCACGCCGAAAATTTTGCGAAAAAACTAGACACTTCTACACAAAATCCAAAAAAATTATCTTGTTTTTTACCATTCTCTTACCATTACGGAGACCGTGAAACCTTGCCAATTATTTTCCCTATCTTAATACTTTGTAGACTTTATACCCAGTGTGCAGACATAGCATGGAAGACCGGAAAGTTAAAACGTATCTTAATACATGTGTTCTATTGTAATCTATTATAATGGATTATAATGATTAAAAAACAATGACAATATGATTCAATCCATTTTTAATGTATTATAATTGAATATAGTCGAATATAATGGATTAAATTGATATAAAAAATACAATAACTACCATTTTTGATTGGTTATAATAGGTTTTTTTGTAATTTTACAGATACTGACTATCAATTGACAATATAATCAATTGTTATCCATGGAACTCCAGTGCACAATTTCCAGATTTCGCCTAGAATTCGGCATCAATTTTTTTAGATGCTAATGAAAATGTCGAGTTTGAATTGAACAACAAACACCTCAATCATATGAAATTCTGCATTTTTCTTCAAAAGTCAAAACACTAATTCGACTATTGCGTACCTGCGATGACAGCACCAGTTGAAACAGCAGTCACACCAACACCAACACCAACACCACCGAGTACGCCAAGTGCAACTATACTTGCCGCGGTATTTTCCACTTCTTTAGTCGAGTCTGTTGACCGGAGCTTGTCCGCCTTGTCGCGGATGAATGTCAACCCTGGATCTTCTCCTTCAAAGTGGTTCCTGACGATATCTTCGAAGTTTCCTTTTCCTTTTGCGTGATGGCGAGTAAATTCTTCGATGTCTGTTTTCAGTAGCCTGAAGGTTTGTTGATACAACAAAACTTCTTCCACGATCAGTTGCTCCGATTTTTTCTTGCAAAAAAAACTGGATAGCGGATTCTTATCACGCTTTGTGCAAGCAGCTGCTACTTTTGGTATTCGCGACTGCAGGGCACTTAACTTTGCCTTAGCGACAACTTTGCCATTTTCCTTCGCATGTTTTAGCAACACGAGCTTTTTGGCCTCCGGGCAGTCTGTCAGTAGATCATCTCTCAATTTCGGCATCTCAAATTTTCCTCTTTCTGTCCCATCAACTAAGTACAGATTGAAATCACTTCCTTCTTCCAGACATTTTTCTTTCAACTGTGTGATCAGATTTCTCCTGGTTGCGTCAATTATATTTTGTTCTTGTTTTTTCTGTTTTTCCCCCTTCCTAACTGTCTCATCAATATGAGTCCTGACTATGTACCACTTTATTTTCATCTTTTTCGCTCCTGCAATCAGCCTGTTTGCATCTGTCGTTATAACATCACTCAGAGCAATGATGAAAAAATCATATTCAATATCTCCCTTTGGGTTTAGCGCCAAATCTTTCGCTCTGATTGTTTGCCAGTATCTATGGAGAAGAAACTCACTACCATCAACTCCTGGTAGATCCCAAATTTTTATTCGTTCGTTTTCAGGATGTTGGAAATCACGTGGCTTAGTTGTACACACTCCAGCCTCGTCCACCTCCGCAGCACCTTCGGGCAAGTCGCCATTTTCGTCAATCTCATATCCAAGCAATGTATTGATGAGTGTAGATTTACCCGCTTTAGCTTGTCCAATCACACCAACGTTGATTTCTTGGCTGCTCCATTCTCGAAGAGTCTCCAAAGATTGATTGAAATTTTTCTCCGCTTCACTAATCTGGTGATTTGAAGACATAACTAAGCACATAAGCAGTGTACCTAAACTAGGCGTTTCTCTGTGAAACAATTTGCAACGAGATTCGAGGCAAAATAGACTTGCATTAAAATGCTTCTGAGACCCGAATTTTTTTTAAAGAAACCAATTTTTTTTTGAGATTTCGAGCTTTTGCGAGATAGTGCAAAGTTTAGACCAACAAGGACCTGCCAGAGTATCTATGTTCTTAACAAGCATATATGTTACTGCGCAAGTACCCCCGAATGTTCCGACCCTAGTCTTATAAATTACAAAAGTAAAAATGATGAAAAGTTTTTCAAATTGGAGTCGTTTTTTTTGCTTGGTGTAATAAAAAAATGAAAAAAAAACGTAAACTGGTTAATACAGAAATGACTTGAAAAACAAAATTATTGGTAAGAAAATCAAAAAAAAAATAATTCAAAACTCAAAAAAAAGTTGGTTTTCAAAATCGTGCTCAAAGTAACATCTATTAGATTTCAAGTTATTCGAAACTCAAAATGAAAACAAGAAAACGCAATACAACACCAATTAGTGGATTTGTTAGAATAAAAATTAATCTTGAATTAATCCTTTTCTTTCTCAGACCGCTTTGGGAGTAATTGTGGATTATTTCTAATATAAAACTAATTTTTTGAAAACCTCAGTTTTTTCAAATCAATTATTTATGTGCAAACTCGAAAGAGTCGTCTGAGAATATCAAAAAATCACATGGTTTTTTTTTCAATTGATTTTTTTTCATTTGTAGAGAATGACCAAAAGCCTTGTTAGCACTTAACAAAAATTAACAATTTCAATGGGTTTTTCTTTATTTTAAATAATTTTTCGCCCGAAGCCTTATCAAAAGATCTTTTTCTGTTTTGAAACT